AAAAAAAAAATTGGGCTCGTCCGGGATTTGAACCCGGGACCTCTCGCACCCTAAGCGAGAATCATACCCCTAGACCAACGAGCCAGCTGTTTTAGATGCCTTCCAGATGTTTCCTTCAGACAGTCTACTAATTAGAGGCTCGAATTTCTTTCTGGGCTCATGGCAACTGACAGAACCAGTTCACGCGCCTATTGCCTGCACATTTTTTGAGGAGAAAACTCTTAACTCCTTACTGGGATTTGAACTGTCAACCAAGCACGTCAACCAGGAAAGATCGAGCCTGATGACAGATTGCATAAACATTTACATATATTTATGTAAATAAATGAATTTAAAATTATTTCATTGCAGAAACATTCAAACGCAAAAAGTTTGAATTTGGCTGGACATACTTGGGAAGAAATGCACACTACCGCATGAACAATTTATTAAATGTATCTGCCACTCAAGTCCAGTGACTCTGGGTGTAGGGGATTATGGGAGACGGAGTCTTCCTAACATGCATTCAGATGATGGCACTGCAGCCCCAAGCATTCTTTTATGAGGGTTTTTTTTAAAAAAAACCTCAATTCAATTTATGGACAAGATATAGATAGATATAGATATAGATATGTTTTCTGAGGTTCTCGCGGGTATTTGTATGTGGATCTTTGGTTATTCGGGTTTTCTCCCGTGTAAGATTGGAAGTATCTAGGCAACGTTTCAATGAAGTCTCGTTCATCATCTTCAGGCTTATGTCTTCAGCATTACTCTGAGAAGCACAGAGCCGAAGACACAAGTCTGAAGATGATGAATGTATAAAATACCTGAACAAAGCTGAATGCCATATATACATATACATATACACATACATATATATATATGTGTGTGTGTGTGTGTGTGTGTGTGTGTGTGTGTGTGTGTGATTTTCATTTAGCAGACACAATTGAGACTGGCAACTTGATCATTAAATGAAGCTGTCGCTAAGTGAAACCCAAGGAGTACCATAGCAATTTGGTGGTGGCCCCAATGGGAGCATAAGGGATTAAAAATCAGCCTGTTAGCTCCCTGCATACTTCAAATTCAGCGGCCCAAACAATGCTTACTAGCCTATTTACTTGCACAGCAGAAAAGATTTATAAGTACTCCTGGTTTAGTGGTGACAGAGAATATGGGTGAAAGATCTTTGGAAAGTATTAAGGGGAAATAGCTAGTTTAACCACAGAAATAAATAATTCGAATAACACGAAAGTTACTACAACTCCAAGGATAACCACCCAGAAGAAGCTTCAGATTAAGGATTTAAGCTGCAAAATAGCTGTTGTTTTTGTTGTTCAATGTTTAATAACCCCATAATACCTTCCGGGGTAGAGTAGGGGCAATTGAATGGAGTGAAGTGTTTACTGGCCAGGTGCCTTTTCTGTCACCAATGCAGAGTTTTTGCCGCAAATATATTCTCATTGTACCCATAGAGAGAAATATCTGCCTCTACCTAGGATCGAACTCGCAACTTCCTGATCGCGAGGTGAGACCTCCACCTGTAGGCCACCACATCTCTCAAGCTGCAAAATAGCTGTGTTGGAAGAAAAATCCAATACGGTTCCAAGCCAGGAGGAAAAAAAAAAATAAAACCACTGGAAATAAAATGGAGGATGGCTACAAGGAAGAAAGATCTCCGTTTATGTGGTTTTCCAGAAATTTCAGTGACAGCAACATGTTTGTCAGGTGGTTGACAAAATAGCAGAGTAAGTGGATAGATTTTTATAGGATTCTGGGATTTGGTGTTTGAGATGCTCCAGGGGGTTGTGCAATGTAGTGAGCCTTGGGTTCTTTTACTATTCTAATAGTGGCTTAATCCTATTATGTCCCAAAGATCCTGTCCTATCCTTAGAATTTGGGGGGTGGGGATGTAAATTCTTAATCACATCAGCTCTAGCCTTCTATGGGAGCTGTGGCTGAAAGCGTTTTGTTTATGAATAGGATGGCCTGGCTTTCTTAACGGGTACAAAATATCCATTTCTAAAGACTGGAAGCTTCTGCTTGAGGCTGGAAGACTGGGGGCTGCTTTCTGCCTTTTCTCCTTTTGGGGAAATATAATATTCTGCCTCTTTTAATATCCCCCAAAATATTTCATTCTCTAGGAGGGGGCGGCTTCCCACAGCTGCAAGAGGAAATTGTTCGTTATAGAGAAGTGGGTCAGAGTAGTAAGCAAAGCGCATGATTAATAGAAGATTACATATTAATTATTTTATCTACTAATTATAATACACATGTGATGCAAGGGTGGGATTCAAATTTTTTAACAACCGGTTCTGTGGGCGTGGCTTAGTTTGGTGGGCGTGACTTAGTGGTCATGTGACTGGGTGGATGTGGCTTGGTGGTCGTGTGACTGGATGGGTGTGGCCAACTCAACATCACTCACATCGAGGCACGCATCTCCTCGCCTGGCCTCTCATGACTGTGGGGATGCTGCAACAGTCGTAAGTGTGAAAAATGGTCATAAGTCACTTATGCCATTGTAACTTTGAATGGTCACTCCATATAAGCAAAGTACCAGCAAAGGAGGGAAAAATACTCCAAAGAAGTTCCTGAGACAGGAAGTCTAGTCCTGCCAAGAATGTAATAAGGGTTAATGGAGAGGCAGTTTCTGTAAGCAACACCAGAATGTTTCCTTCCTGCCTTCCTTACAGGATTAGGCCAGTAATTTCCTCTAACAACCACTTCTAGCGAATAGGTAGGAACTGGTAGAATCCCACCCCTGATGTGATATATGATTTAGTATGTTTGGGGAGGATCTCAGCAAAATTTTAGGAGGCAGGGGTTGGTGGGAAAAGGTGTAACCTCATAGTACCTAAACTGCATGTCAGCAACTGGCGGCTCTGGAGCCACATGTGACTCTTTGGGCCCTCTGCAGCGGTTCCCTGTTGGGTGATTCCACCACTGGCTGGCCCCGCCCATTGGCCTCCCCTCCCAGTAACTTCTCGCCTGGCTTTAGAAGGTAAAACACAAAAAGAAGAAATGAGAGGGACGGAGAGAGAGGGAGAGGGAGAAGGAGGGAGAGAGAGAGACCTATTTCCCATAGAAAACACCGGGAGCCACAAAACCTGGGTAGGCGTGGCGAGGGCGTGTCATGTGACTGGGTGGGAATGATCTTGAGTTGGCGACGCCCATCCAGGTTTTGAGTCTCCTGGTGTTTTCTTTTCTGTGGGAAACGGGTCCAAATGGCTCTTTTGAGTGTTTCAGGCCCCTGACCTCAGCCAATGGGGAATGAGGAGGGATATGGTGGCCAGGATGCCCGGCAGGACAGGAGTGTACAGGTAGTCCTTGACTTACAATAGTTCACTTAGTGACCGTTCAAGGTGTTGGAAGAAATATCTTTCTGGGTTCAGTTCCAAGTGGGAAAAAGACATTGGAAACATGGAGGCTGTTTGGAAGGTTTAATGGTGGACAGGTGGACCATGTGGCCTGGAGCCCCAGAGTAAAAAGGAAGGATGATCACATGCTCTAAGGTGAAGGAGAAGGAAGGATTGATATGTCGAGAGTCCCTGGGTTTTATAACCTTTGGATCGGAGCTTGTATTCTGATCGGTTGTCAGACTCCTGTGGGGCCAAGCAGGGGCAACTTTGTAGGCTGTCCTGAGTTCCAGGCTTGGTTGAGCCTTGCTGGATGATGATGATGCACTGAACAGGGTTTTTGGCAATTGCTGTAGCTTTACCTGGAGATCTTTGTTATGTAAAGTATTCTGACCCAGGCCTTAATGGCCCACCCATTCACAAAGGTAGGGGTGAGTTTCTGCTTCTGAGTTGAGTTTCTGCTCTTGAGTTTCTACTCTTTTTGGAGGAAATATTCCGCCTTTTTAATATTTCCTAGGATATTTCAATTTTCTAGGAGAGGGGTGGGTGCTAACTTCCTACAGAGGTTACAACAGCTCCCGGAACAAGCTGACTTGTGATCGTTTTTCACACTCGCAACCATCTCTCCATGAGCAGAATTCGTCTGCTTGGCCACTGGCTCGTATTTATGACAGTCGCAGTGTCCCTGGAGTTCGCACGATCCCCTTTTGCGACTTTCTGGACCAGCAAAGGTCAATGGGGAAAGCCGGATTCGCTTAACAACCGGGTGACTTAACGACTGCAGTGGTTTGCTTCACAGGTGTGACGAGAAAGGCGGTAAAATGAGGCAAAACTCCCTTAACAAACCTCTCACTCAACAACGGCAATTTTGGGGCTCCATCGTGGCCGTAAGTCGAGGACCTCAGCATCTGGAGGGCGCCAGGTTGACTAATGCTGGGCTGCAATTCACTCCCCCATTCCCCCCCACCCCCCCCAAAGCAATTCAATAATTTTGCACCAAAATCAGGATATAGCAAATGATTCCGCCTGGATGTCAATCCTTTCCAGCTCTACCCTGCAAAATCTCATTTGTCATTAATTAGTTTTTTTTTTAAATTAAACCCGGTTGCTTGGATTTAACTTTGATCTCAACCTAATTTGCAAACAAGCCATCAGCCCTTCTTGCACACGCACAGCAACTTGCTTCCCCCCCCTCCCTCCTGCCCTTTGGCCACGAGCAACCTAACCTGCTGACGACTCGGCCAGCGAAACCCGCCCTCTGGGCCTGGTGCCGCTCCGAGAGGGGTGTCTGTATTGACCTATCGCAGAGCTCTCTCCCTATGGTTCCTTTTTCAAGCGGAAGAATTGCCAGAGGCGGACCAATGAGACGTCGTCCGTAGTTGATGACGTAACGCAGGAAACACTATAAAGGTGCAGGAACCAGCCTTAAATATGGAGTCTCTTCCGGTTCTGGACCGTGCCTCGATAATGCAGGTTACCCCAGTAAAGATATTCCCCAGTTAATTTCCAGATATTTTTGGCTAAAGAAAAGCATTTGTCTCAACGAGAAAACTCTGGTGTTCTCTTCCCTTTTTGGATAAAAAGGGACGCACAAAGCTGAGCTGAATTTGTTTGTGCCAGTGTGTGTGTATTTATATTTCCTATTTATTTATATAAAATATAGTTTATAAAAATATATTTTTAAATTTATTTTTATTTCATTTTTGAAATATTTTAAACCTTATAAAAATGCCATATGTTTATATGTATTATAAATATATGAAATATGTTTACATATATATATATACACACACATACATGTAAATTATATATTGTATGAAATATTTCATTATATATTATATCTTTATATATATAAAATATATTTTACCAAAATATATTTCATATCTCTAAACTGCCCATCTCCCTCAAATGGGCTTTATAGATGCAAATTATATATTATATATAATATATTGCACAAATATTTCATATTTACATATTCAGATATTGCATATATGAAATATATATTATAAAAAGACACATTTTGTGTGTGTGTATATATATATATATATATTTAAATTATACATGGTATAAAATATTTGATTTTTATATATAAATATATGTTTTACCAAAATATATTTCTTATTTCTAGACCGCCCATCTCCCTCAAATGGGCTTTAGGTCCTTCCCTCTGGAGCTCTGGACCTGCGATGGAGGAAGGAAAAACCGCCAATCTCTTTCCTCGGCTAATACGGGAAGGGAAGTTTACCTTTCTCCAAGAAGAGATTGAAAAAATTCCTGACCTGGACAGAGATGTGAGACAGAAGCACTGGGAAAAGTCGCAAGACACCCTTCTCCACTTCGCAGCCAGGCACGGCCAACTAGATATCTTGCGTTACCTCACTGAGACCGTGGGAATGAACATTGAACTGGTGAACAAGGACTACAAGCGCCCCCTCCACGAGGCTGCCTCCATGGGCCACCGGGATTGCCTCTTATACCTTCTGGAACGGAGAGCGGCAGTAGATTGCTTAAAAAAAGCAGACTGGTACGGTGGGTTGGCTCTGAAGGGTTTATCTCGGATTGAATGGGAGACCACCAGGAGTTCACATGAGCCCTGCTGGCCTTTCGCGTGGTTCTTCTTTCTTTTTTTATAATGCATTTTTTTTCTTTCTTTTACAAACATATCATTGTGTGAACAGTGTGGTTACAGGGTATTTGACATTTTAGAACAAACGTGACAATGATTTCATATTAAAACTGTTAACTTAATGTTAATACAAATTATTTTTCCTGATTATTCCAAATTCCCATGTTATTTTTATGACAGTCTCTATATTCTTAACATCTCTTCTTTTATTATAATTATATATTACTGGTCATATTTGCAGTATTTCACAAATTATGTAATTTTTATAACCATTCATAAGTTCATATTCATTTATATTTTCTCTTATTTATCCCCTTTTTGATTCTTAGCTGTGCCACTAGCATGTTTGAAACAAAGTCCCCTTCTGATCTCGTTTTAGTACAAACAAAATAATATCCATCCTACTTACGTTTAGCAAATTATTCTAGCAATAATATAATCACATTTAACTAATAGCATATTTCATTGCTATTTTTGTTTATCAGATTCCACATGTCATTTCTTTTCCTACAGTACAATACTAATTTCTGTATTTTTTATCATTAGCAATTTATACATCTTTAACCATCATCCTATAATAAAATATTAATTTCATATTTATTACAATTACCAGCCTTTCACCTGGTTCTAAGAGGCAGGATATGGGGCTGGGCCCATGCATTGCCTGTGTTAATTCTAACCAATGGGATAGTTTTTAATTCCAGTTGTGGTTTTGTTCCTTTGGTTCTATTTTTCTGTTTTTATATTTTACTTTATATTATGGGGGCGAAGGTTCGTTCTCCAAGTTTTCTGAATGTTTCATTACCAGGCTAGGTAACAACTTCAGTGGAGTTTAGGGGATGCGTCAGTGTTCTTCTGTTTATAAGGGCTTCAGGTGTGGGTGTTTATATTATATTATAATTTACTTTAGCTGCCTAGAGTCATGAACTTGAGATAGGGGGCCATGTACAGTGAACTAATAAATAAAATAAAATCTTGGGTTTGTAGATGAAGATGTGGTAGATATTAATCTAAAGGTAGGAATGCAGTGGCTCAGTGGTGAAGACGCTGAGCTTGTTGATCAGAAAGTGAGCTCCAGTTACTTGTCCCAGCTTTCTGCCATCCTAGCAGTTCAAAAGCATGTAAAAATGCAAAAATAGAAAAATAAGAATCCCTTTGGTGGGAAGAGAACAGTGTTCCGTGCACCTTTGGTGTTTAGTCATGCCGGCCACATGACCATGGAGACGTCTTCGGACAGCGCTGGCTCTTCTTCGGCTTTTTAATGGAGATGAGTACCGCCCCTTAGAATTGGAAACGACCAGCACATATCTACAAGGGGAACCTTTACCTTTACTCCTTGACTTATAACTACGATTGGGATCTTTCTGTTGCTGGTGGTTGTTCAGTGAGTCACACCTGATTTTATCCCCTTTTGGGGCGCACAGTTGTTAAGCAAATCCGGCATGAACCTGCCAAAGGCTTATCGCACCACTTAAGGGGGAATCAGATGGGAAGACCAAGCTTCTCAGTTGAGGTTCCTCAATCTCTCAGAGATTTCTGGCTGGGAGGCCAGACATCATAGAGAATACAAGCATTGGAAGGGACCTTGGAGGTCTTTTATCCAACCTTAAGCAAGAGACCCTATCTCATTTCAGACAAAATGGTTGTCCAGTCTCTTCTTAAAAGCCTCCACTGATGAAGCACCAACCACTTCTGGTGGCAAGCAGTTCCACTGGTTAATTGTCTTCACTGTTAGGAAGTTTCTCCTAAATTCCAGGTTGCTTCTCTCCTTGATTGGTTTCCGCCTGTTGCTTCTTGTCCTGCCCTCAGGTGCTTTGCAGAATAGCTTCACTCCCTGTTCTTTGGGGCAGCCCCTGAGATATTGGACAAGTGCTATCATGTCACCCCTCGTTCTTTTCACTAGACTAGACATACACAATTCCTGCAATCCTTCTTTGTATCTTTTAGCCCCCTAATCACCTTTGTTGCTCTTCTCTGCACTCTTTCCAACGGCTTTTTGATAGCGTGGTGACCAAAACTGGATGCAGTGTGGCCTTACCAAGGCCTTATAAAGCGGTAGTATCGCTTTTCGTGATCTCGATTCTATCCTTCCGTTAATGCAGCCAAGGATTTCGTTGGCTTTTGGGGCAGCTGCTGCACACCGCTGGCTCCTATTTAAGGGATTGTGCACCAGCACTCCCAAGATCCCTCTCACACTTACCACAACAGAGCAAAATTTCCACCTAGTTGGTACCTGTACCGCTGGTTTTTCTTGCCTCAGTGTAAAACCCTTTTTTTTTTATAAAATATTTTTTATTAAGCAATTTTTCTTATATACAACATCATTTCCATCCATTACAACGCTTTCCTGACGGTATACATACTTTTACGTAAATCTTAACTATCTATACACTTGTCTATATTGCTTAATCTATCTTTGTCCGCTATAACTTTTACCTTATTATCTTATTGTCGTCTTCTCTATTCAACTCTTAGGTATTATTTAGCCAAACATACAGTACATTCCACGTCACGTAATAATCCGTTTCCTCTCTTTCCTTTATCTCCATGGTCAACTTATCCATCTGGGCACACTCTAGTATTTTTCTTATCACATTTTCCTCTGGTGGCATACTATCATTTTTCCAATTCTGTGCGTAAGTTATTCTTGCTGCCGTTAATAGATGTAGCATTAGATACTCTGCTTTCTTATCATATTTTTCCATTATTATACCTAATAGAACGGTCTTAATTCAATTTGCTGTTTAATTATTTCTTCTATCCATTTTTTTGTCCTCATCCAATATTTTCTCGCTACAGGGCATGTCCACCGCGCATCGTAATATGTTCCTCGCAGTGGTGGGATTCACTTTTTTTTTTTACTACCGGTTCTGTGGGTGGTGGTTTGGTGGGCATGGTAGGAGAAGGATACTGTAAAATCTCCAGTCAAGAGGTGGGATTTGCCGGTTCTCCGAACTACTGAAAATTTCTACCACCGGTTCTCCAGAACCTTTCAGAACCTGCTGAATATCACACCTGGTTCTTTGGTTTTTGTTTGCATTTCCCACATTCAAGCTGATCTTTTTGGGAACGTTTTTGCTAATCTAGCAGGTGGTAGGTGCCATCGGTCGAACACTTTTCTCTATATGATGCCTTTCTTTTTTTTTCTACTCTGAATTTCATTTTCTTAGATAGAGCCCAGTGTTCAAGTCTATGGAGATCCGTCTGGGAGATGTTCTTCTGATATGTCTCGATGACCTCCTAGAAGGTTGATTATTCTCCCTCCGCTCCGTTTCCTAGGACTCCTCTCATGATGGCTTGTACGAGGAGAAACCTGGAGATCATCCGAGATCTTATCCAACACGGAGCCAACCCGCGGCTGAAGAACAAGGACGGCTGGAATTGCTTCCACATTGCCAGTCGCCAAGGGGATCCCCGGGTCGTTCAATATTTGCTGGATGCTTCACCAGATATTTGGGAGACGGAAAGCCGGATCAGAAGGACGCCTCTCCACACAGCAGGTTGCATCGCATGCACCCCCTCTTAAGAGGGTTGAGTTGCTATTATGCTAATACAATAAAAGAAATTATAAGACTTGAAATATTAAAAGCGGGGAGAGATGGAAGATAGAATTAGAACACCTATTAATGTAAGTTCTTGGTGGCACAGTGGTTAGAGTGCAGTACTGCAAGCTACTTCTGCCTGCCTGCCACCAGGCTCCAGGTGGACTCAGCCTTCCATCCTTCCGAGGTGGGTAAAATGAGGACCCCGATTGTTGAGGGCAAGAGGCTGACTCTGTAAACCGCTTAGAGAGGGCTGTAAAAGCGCCATGAAGCGTTGTATAAGTCTAAGTGCTACTGCTACTGCAGTATATTTCTATATTATCAAGATATGAAATAGAGGCCGAAATTGGTAACGGGAAAAATGGCACAATTTTACTATGAATATTTTTTATGTAACATGTTAAAATTACTGTAGTATACAGACGAAAGGATTGGAAGTTGAAAGATGACTGTATTGTGTGCAATGTTATCATAATGGTGTGACCATGATTAATGTAAGGTTATCAAAATTGTCAATATTTTGGTATCAAAATGAATGACACCCAGAAACCACACTGTTCATGTATTTAATACTTATACATATTTAAAATTTAAAAAAAAACGTGCGTGTGGTGTGTGTGTGTCTGTTTCTCCGTCTCTATCTCTTTCTCTCTCCCATATATATATATACAGATACAGAGATAGAGAGAGAGAGAGAGAGAGAGAGAGAGCGCGAGAGAGATAATATAGATATAGATAGATATATCTATATTAGATAGATATATAGATTATATATAATATATATATGTATATGTATATGTATGTATGAGAGAGAGAGAGAGAAGATAGATATAGATAGACAGATGATATAGATGATATAGAT